GACATTTGTCTTCTGCTGTATGGAAATATTTTGTATTCCATAGATATTGAGCAAAAGCAAGTGATTTGACGGACTGGTAGCTAATGCATTCTACATTTGGCTATGCAGTCTCATAACATGCGGTTCCAACCAGCTTGTTAGATTTTTGTCGTTAAGCGAGTTGACGTATACACCTGACCTGACGTAACCGGCCCTAACCTAACCTCAAGTAACCTAATGACACACAACGCAAGTTAATAATTATTGAAATACAATTACAGTATTAATATTAATGTACTTGACTACTGAGTCATAGAGCTGAAGTTTTCCATCTTGAGGCAGGTGGTTTAAGAACGCAATGCCATCACCATAGAGGATACCTTTTAAAAAATGTTATAAATTTAATATAGTAGTACTACATCGCACACATTGAATACCATCTCGGTCAGGCAGGCTAAACAGGACTGTCAAGTATGACTGGACTATGTCAGTGCATTACGTCAAGTTTTATTTTGGTATTTAATCACTGACCACAGATCTTGGTCCTCAGCCTGAATCATTGTCTAAGTCAGGGCTATTCAAATCCCGGTCCTCAAGGGCCAAGCCCTGCTGATTTTCCAGCCTTCCTTTACCTGTAAGCCTGATGTGAAGCCTCTGGCCAATCAGAATCAGTCATTATTAAACTAACTACCTGGTAGAACTGAAAACAAGGCCTGAATTTGGAATCGAGGGCCAGATTTGAAGAGCCCTGCTCTAAGTGATCTGTAGGCAATTTACTTGCATAGTTCCCCTTAATCTTTATTTCAACAATTTATTGTGCAATGATTTTCTACTGTGATTTACCCTGTGTGGTTATAATTAGAATCGAGAATTCGACAGCCTCGTGGTGGGAATATCTAGGAGACATGCTTGCAAGTGTGAGCTGCTTTGATTGTGGAACAATGTAAATTTAATTCTACATGTAGTTGAAGTTCTTGAAGCGGTTTAATTTCTGACTCTAATTTCGCATATTGTCAACGCTTCTTTATTGTGATGTGGCCGGTCTTGGCACAGGGGTGGGCAATCTTACCCAGAAAGTGGGTTTTCGCTGCAACTGTCTAATTACTAATTAGAGGACTGACTGGCAGAAGAGTCCTCGCACCTGGGTCTGAACGGCTGACCTAAAGGTTACCCCAAGAACCTGCATACACACCGGCCCTTTGCGGATGATATTGCCCACCCCTGTCTTGGCACTTGTAGCTGCATGCTGACTTCCATCCGGGAGTGTTGCCCCTGGTAACCTGTCTCCCTTCCTCTTTTGTAGTCCCCGCCACAGCCCACGTCGGTGCACCCAGTGCTGCAGTAACCTGTGTCCAGGGCCTCGGTGGTGCTCCTGATGGCCCTCACCCACTGTCGAAGATCCCAGGTGGGCGAGGGAATGACAAGAGGGATCACAGTCTTTCAGCTAAGCTCTTCTACTCGGTGAGTCATTTGTGTTCCTCCCACGTCAGCCTATCCGAACTTGCCATCCGTGACTAATGGCTAACGCACCCAATGCATATCTGTTGATCACTGGGGCTGCAAAAACAATTTCTTGACCACCTAATCGCATCATTAATCAACTAATTGTTCAATGTGGCCAAAAGACAAGATTTAAAGTGTGAATGTGATATTTAAACCTCAAGAGGCACTTTACGCTGTAGAGAACCTCTAAGTGATTAAGTGATTTCAAAATTCTGTGGTATAGTGTTGCCATAGCACCACCCAAGCCTAGTATTAGCTTGCAAACTGTCCATTAGTTGACCCGTTTCACTATACGGCTTTGCTTTTTGCAATGCATCTGCTGGTCTGGTGGAACATCATTGCTATATGCATGCACCGGCCTCAGACAAATGTAGTTCATAGTTGCGTCTGCACGCATACCCACACGCGAACCAGAGCGGCACGCATTGTGCAATTTTAAACACGAGACAATGTCACAGGCCTTCTATCTTTGGAGGGGATTCACTGATGAGACTCGGTTGTAATTTTACAATATTGTCAACATCATACATATTTCAGATATGAATTGCTTAAATGTTTCAGTGTTTCAAATATCTAACAGATTACTTGTAACAACTGCCAGTGCTATTTTTCGGTGTCCAGCGGCTTCCCAGAGATGCAGTTCTCCGGATCTAGTTCTCTTTTTGTGGCCATGAATCGTTGCAGGAATGAGCTGCTTTAATTGCAGAACAATGTGAATTAAATTCCATATGTAGTTGAAGTTCTTGAAGCAGTTTATTTTCGCACTTAATCACCAATAAACGAAATCTATGGGCTAATGGTTAGATCGGGTTTTTTCCCGCTTGTATACTGCCAAGAATGGAGTTATACTCACGCTGATATGGCCCCGCTTACTAGCAGGGCCGTAAGTGTGAGCAAACCGTGCTGGTTGTGTGACCGATATCAGGATTGGTTGAAATGCTTGGAGATACCAGTGATCTTCATCTGTTTGCATGGATTATTGCATGGATTATCTGAAGGAAAAGGCACATTCTGTATTCATTATTGGTAGCTTATTGCATATCATAATGTATTGATGCATTCCTGGTTACTTATTTAAAGTAGTATAGAATAGCTGAATGGAATGGATTTGTAATGCAAATTTATGCAACCAAATGCTAATTCCAGTAGTGTTTGATGCTAACTTAAAATGGTGATTCTCAGAGGTGCTAGTGGAAATTGGTGCTTATAACTCATGATGTACATCGTGTGAACAGTAAATCTCTTCGGTTTCACGCTGGCATTATCAGTTGCAGCCCTACTGATCCCACTTGAACTTGGGTCCTCATTTATTTAGAATTCAGTGTGAATTCCCTTCTTTCCTCGCGCATGGCGGTTTCAGCCTTGCGTGCCTGAGAGCTTTGTCTCCCTCTGCAGGATGCCCGCTTGCTTGTCCTGGAGGAGTCTGCCCCTTCGTCAGGCCGTGTGCGTTTTTTGCACTTCCAGCCTTGCTGGGGGGAGGCTGGGCACTGCTCCTGGAGGGGTGTGCTGAAGGGAGCCGGTCTGTACGTCGAGATCCCCCCGGGGGTGCTGCCAGAGGGCAGCAAGGACAGGTGGGTTTGGGGTGATCGCTCTGCTGCAGGACTGCGTGAGGCCAGGCATGAGCCCACTGCCCACTGCTACGTGAAGCTCTGTCATGCAAGACCTGAATGTCTCTGCTCTTCCCCTCTTAGCTTTGCTCTCCTACTGGAGTTTGCAGAAGAGAAGCTGCAGGTAGATCATGTCTTCATCTGCTTCCACAAGAATCGTGACGATAGAGGTACGTCTGACCCCCCCCTGTTGGTTCCGGTATTCTGGGTTTCTCACCTCTTGGTTTACTTTCAGTTGGTAACAGTCTTCTTTGTTCTCCGACCAGCATCACTGCTACGAACGTTCGGCTTCCTGGGCTTTGAGATTGTGAGACCGGGTCATGCCCTCATCCCCTCCCGCTCCGATGCTCTCTTCATGGTTTATACCATGGAGAGAGACTCGTCTGATGAATGATTATTGTTGGCAGGTTATGTAAAACATTCCTTGTTCCTCCTGGAATTCTTTCAATTTCTGCATTGTGGCAGTATTTTATTTCCTTTGCCCCCCGCCCCCCCCCCCTTAGTACACATCATATCAGAGGTACCCCCACTCCTAATACAGAGCTTAGGGTGTGTCATTGCTAGTAGTCTGTTCTGGGTACCAGATGTGGAAATGCTTTCAGTAGGCGTTTTGATTATATACCACACTGATCGTTCTGTAGAATTGTGTAAGGTGTATTTTTTTCCATGGTTTTATATTGATTTGTTTGATCTTGGTTGTGTGCATGATTCTGAATTGTTTCTGTCACTGGATTTATAACCCATGTTAATACAGTGTGCAAAATAAAACTGTTCACCTTAATCTGCCTCTTTGATTTTCATGCAGTTACCCAGAATGATAGTGTTTTGGTATGAGTTGCATGAATGTGTAAGTTGGTATTTCATCCAAGGACTCCTTGTGAATGTGAACATTCTATGCCAAATAATTACTGGTGCAGTCTTCATTAGGAATGGGTATTGGCACAGGTGCCCTGATTCGATTCCAGTTCGCGAGCTACCGATTCGGTATCAGTTCGATGAGATGAAATGCTCTTCAGCAACTTTCCATATTTGGAGAGATGTATAAAAAGCTCCAAAAACTTCACTGGAGATCACTGGAAACAAACTGAGAATCACCGAAGGAAGAAAACCAAAGGTTTGTGTTCTAAAATCTGGAGGACCACAAGGGTGTACTTCTTAAACACAAGCAACCTGTGTTTTTCAAAGCACAGAATGGACTAAAACTAGTTAATTTGTGATCTTCATGTTCAGAAGGTCCACATGCATGTTGTGACAGAAGGGTTGGCGGTAGCACATCCTTGATGTCTCAAGTTATATACCTATATAACCATTTAAGACCTTAACCCTTGTGTACATGCGACTTTCAGGAAGCTGTTACATTGCACTATGTAAGCTGCAAATACCAGTAGCTGCAGATTTTTATTGAATACCTCCTCCCTGAACACACAAGGTGTTCTGAACAAATAACTTTACCAAGTTTAAAAACTGAACATTATTAATTTTCTATTCAAAATAGTGGTCAAATACTGTATGATTTTTCATAATAGCTGCCTGGGGAAATATAGCTTCCTGCTTGCTTGCGTGTATTACAAGGTGCTCTGCTCTCAAAATATGCTGACAGGCAGTGTGTGGCTTAGTGGGTCGTCAATTTGAGCCTGACCTCAATCTATGGGTTCGTAAGCAAGGCCCTTAACCCCCAGCTCCCTGGGCACTGCTGTGCATAGCTGCCTTTTGTGGCCAGTGTGTTCTCACCTACAGAGAGCAAGTTTGGCGAGGCGTGAAGAGAATTTACCCACAGGAATCGGGAAGTGTCAATTATCAGTGTTTGTCAGGGTTCCCGAGACAAGTCTGCACATGCATTTACATGTGTCACAGGTTAATTACCTTGTAAATAGTCTGTACAGTTTGCAAATCATCCCAATACTTTTGATGCAGCTAATTTTCAGGTTTATAATTGAATAATACAGATTTGCCGTAAGACTTCTTACATGAGCAAAGAAAGTGTCTGCTGACATAAGGGCAAGTGTAATGTTAACTACTAATGGCACATGAGGTGCAGTGATGCTTCTGCTGCCTGAGCACCAGAAGACAAGTATCTCGATTGACAGCCCAGGCACGTGGCCCCAAAATCTGCAATGCAATACGGTCCAGTACCAATTCAGTACAGTACAATGGACCTAGAAAACCAGAAAATGCATATTGGCCTAAAATATGGATCATAAAATATCACAGATCTTGTTTTTAAAAATGATTAACTGAAAAAACATTATTTGCACACCCTTAGTTTGCATCCAGTTTTAAAAATGGTTTTAATACTCACAAAGTGAAATGTTTACATATAAATAATTCTTTTGAGGGATGCAAATCTTAATTTTATTGCATAACATATACTTTAGTTTAAATCTTTTGAGTTTTTTAGCAGACAATACACAACATTTTCACCATTACATTACAGCTTGACATGTTGTGACGGGTGTGGTCCAGCCAGTGACTGAATCCATTTCAGGACTACCGTACGTCGTCTGACAAGGTAATTAGTAAGACGCTCTAAATAAAGAGCTGGTCAAATCTTTATATGAACTCTATACTGGGTGTGACGTTGCTGTTATAGCTGTTGTTATACATGCCGCTGTGTGCTACATTGTATCTTTGCTGTGTTTCTATGGGTTCTCAGCGTAGCCTAGAATATCTGCAAGTCAGGGTTTCACTTTGCGACAAGTGCCGTTGGTGTCCAGCTCCTGACACATGCGTCAGCAGCAAAGACTAATGCGCTTTAAGATCCTCCTGCAGAGTAATTTAGCATTAGCATTAGTGTGCGAAGCTTCCAAGTCCCAGGACCTCAGTGCTTTTTAGTATAGTGTCTGGGGAAGTGAGGCTGTGGTACTGTAGACATAAGTAGTCCTCCCATTGCAGCGCGCGCTGGTCCACGGAGAGGCCCCTCTCCGCCAGCTTCAGCACCAGTAGTGAGCGCCTCACTGACAGCCAGTTCTCGATCAGCAGCTGCTCCGCTGGGTTCTGCTGGAGGAGCCTCGGGCCCCAGAGCAGGACCTGTAAGACCCCGATGGCGTCCGACATTTGCAGCTTGCCTTCCTGGAGCGAGGCGGCCAGCTGGAGCAAGCCAGGGGTATAGGGAGACCCCAGAGTCTCCCCCGGGGCTCCCCTTGCATCTTCAGCAGAGGGGTTTTCTGGAATGTGCAAGCAGTGCTTCAGAAGACTGCCAAGCTGTAACTCCTCTGGGTCCTGGGCTTCGTCTGCCTCGGGCAGCGGACGGGAATCGGTGAGTACGATTCGTGGGGCTCCCCATTCCCCCCACAGAATTTCTATGGATCCTCTCAGGTCCCTGCCTTCTTCCTGTGCCCTGTCACCCACCCCTCCACCCTCGGCCTCTGGCCACACCAGCAGGATGCTCTGTGGGTGCAGCTGTGTGCACGTGGCGCCGTGGCTGCGCAGATGCTGCAGCCCCTGGGTCACCTGCAGCAGGAGCAGGCCCAGCCGTCTCTCATATGCTTCAGGTTGAGCGCGGTGGAGCGACACTCCATCTTGCACAAACTCCTCCAAGGTCCCCCAAGGCACCTGTTTGACAACAGCTATGTCGCAGCCCTCTGACAAGAGTGAAAGAATCGTGCGACTCTCACCATTAGGGCAGCCCGGTAGATTCCTATCTAGTTCTGTGCTGCTCTCAGACAAAAACACTGAGGACTGTGCATCAGATAAGCGGACACCTTCAGTGGTAATGTCTTCCTGTTTGTTCTCCTGGCCTTCTTGTCTGATATTTTCCAGCTTCTTCTCTTTAGCCGGGGTCGGGCATTGTTTAAAATACGCAAAGACTTTCTCAATGTTGACGTGGGGCGGCAGCCTCGCTGGACGAGGCAATCCGGAAGTCTCCGTGCTGGACTTGACAGCCTGTCAATGAATATACATGCAGTGTATTTTTTATGGCATATAAACCACAGCCCAGAACGGTTACAAATGAATAATTATTGCTTGATATGCATGTAGCATCTACAGTGGGGGGGGGGTAAAGTTACAGGATATGAGTTACTATGAGTTTTTAAATATACCTGAACAACAGCTATAAGCATAAAATGTAGCAACCGTAACTACAAACTCATAAGGTAATATATAGAACATTCCGTTAATTTCTAAACTCTAGCAGGCAGCAGAGGAAGTGGGTGTCACAAGAGTTCAGTCACAGGAACCAACTGCAACCTTATAAGGGCATACCTCAAAACTGTGGCTTAGGGCCATCTGTGAGAACCCATGCTCATGTTTGACTTTCTTGAATTAAAAACATCCCATTCTGCAGTGACTACCTGGCATTCGCACTAATGACATGGCCATGTTGTGTTTTTATAAGATTTATATAAGTATCTACAAAAAGCACAGTTGAATTTTAGCAGATAGAGAAATTGCGTAGGGCTACCAACAATGGTGGTAATTTAAATCCATCCATTTTCTTTAACTGCATGTTCTATTTAAGGGGTCCAGCACCTTTCCAGGAAGCTACAGGCATAAGGCAGGGAACAACCCAGGATGGGACACCAACCCATTAGAGGGAACCCCATTACGACACATGGAGCCATGGCAGAGACTCGAACCCAGGTCCCAGAGGTGTAAGACCACAGCTCTAACCACCATACTGCCCCATAATTTAAATCGATGATGCAAAATACATTTTTCCTAATGCCCTTTGGAGAGAAACTTACCTTGGCTGCAAACACACGTGCTGGCAGTTTGGGGCAAACAACGGGGTAGTAGATGGTGCCACCAATATGCCTGCAAGCATGCCCCCCACTCAGCATAAAGTCTCCGGGCTGCAGGGACTCCACCCCTTGGTTGGACTCCCCTTTAAGATACAATGTCTCCAGTCGCTGCACCACGCTCTTCAGAAACAGCAGTTGTCGTTGCTGGATATGGAGAGAGATCTCTTCCTGGTTCTTGAAGTTCTTGAAAAAGCTGGACAGCTGATTGTCTGGGGTATTGAAGTCTAGCATGTTCAGGTTTAACTGGACCGGGCCCTCAGCTGGTAGATTATCATCCGCCTCGGTGTGTATCTGCAGATTTTTCATAGGTCTGATCATGTAAATGAGGTTGTCATAATTTTGGCCTTTCAGCCGGGAAGAGCAGCGGGGCGACAGACTGCCCCCTGGCAGGGAAAGGGCCCTGACGAGTCGCTTTTTTGGCAGGGGGGGTGGCGAGTTTTCCGACAGGAATCTGACTGCACGTTTGCAGGAGAGACAGAGAAACACATCCATGTAAATAAAAACAGGTCGCTGTGAAGTCAGTATGTTACAGTTATGTGGCCTCCTGGCTTCGAGTGCCAGAGCTAATAGTTCCTGGGCGTGGAGGCAAAATCTATATCTAAGACGTCCCCACCATGTGTCTATAATAATGCTGGAATTAATGCCGTGACTGTGGTTGCCTCTGTACTGGGTGCAGGGCACCACGTCAGATTGCCCGCCCAAACAGTGCCCCCTTTTTGGAAACTTGGAAAAAAAGACATTTTTGCATGAATGAAGTACATTCCTATAAATTTCTGCAAAAATGTCTCTGCCTGCAAGACTTAGAATGTTTCCACTAAAATGGGCCGTTCTGAGTCTTTTCAAGGGGCAGGTGACTGACAGACATCCCCTGTAATTTTTGGTTAAGGGTTTTGGGGGGGGGTCCCCGTCGGTAGACCAAAAGAGAATTTGATGCAGTTTGCCGAGTTGGTGGGTTGCCGAGTTGGTGGGTTGCCGAGTTGGTGGGCACTTTCGATCGTTTGGGCAAACAGACAGGTGCGTTTCTAAAGCAAGATCTCGTGTCAGGTGTTACTTCCCCCAGTTTAACAAGTACGCACTTTAAAATGGGAAAGGGAGCATCAGACAGGGAGAAAACCTTAGCTTCATCTAACGCTGATGCATCGATAAAACTGTACGTGGTTACATGGAGTATGACCCTCACCATGGCGATGGTGTATGGGGCACTGGTCCGCTTGGCAGTCGGTCGGTGCAGAAGAATCCCGTGGACGGGTGCGCGTCTCATTCTGGGGTGTGAAAGTATTGTTGGGGTCCCATTCTGAACCCGGGTCAGAAATGGAGCTTTGAGAATATAGGCTCCTGGGCAAAGGCAATGCCAGTTACTCTAATGTGATTATTTCAAATATTATTGCAACACTAGGGTGTTTACAAGCATGATGTACAAAGAGGAGACTCTTCTGAAGTTATTGCATTACACAGTTGTAGTTATTTTACAGTTGAATGTTGTCTCCTTCACTGATACTTAATGCTAAATACGGGGAAGATGGTGCTGACAGATGAGTGAAGCATGTCGGACTCACCTGCGTCGTTTCGCGGGTAACTCTGGGGGCCGGAGGGGATCATCTGGCCCGGCGTCTCCGAGGTCTGCTTGTTTGGGCTCGTCCATCAGTCGGCGCTCTAGTCTTCCCTGATCAAACGTCTCGGCGTCCCTGTGTGCTAAGCGGGGTCTACGCTGACTTTTACTCTTAGTGCAGTTTACAGTTGCTCCTCCTCCTCTGTCTGCCTGACAAGTGCCACTCACTATCGTCCCATGATCTGTGCAGTCTCAAGCTGGTACCGGAACTGTGCACACTATATAATGTTTTTTTCTGTGCCAACCTCAACCAAAAAAAGGAAGAACAGAACCCCCCCAGCACCCCTCCCCTGTCTCTCTCATCTTACTTTTTCTCCTTTTTCTTTCTCTCTCGTGCATCTGTTCACATCCTGTCCTAATGTAATATGCTTCCTATTTGTGATAAGAGATTAACTGAAAAAAAAACCTTCCTCTTTCCTCATACACGGTACCTTTCAATTTTTCGTTAGTTAGAAAAACAACTTAACCATCATTACTCATTGAAACACGGATTTTAATTATTTGTTTCGCACATTTTCTTGCAATAAAGATGCAAAAGGTTCTTTGTGATTAAGAACAATTACAGAAATGCATATTAAATTAGGCCCAAATGAAAACAGTTTGCAAAACTGAACCTTGGAAATACATTTTGTACATTGGTCTTTTTATACACAAATATTTTAAAAAGCAGGTAATTGAATATCAGGCTGTCAGAGGGTCTGGCTTGTTTGGGGATGTTGGCCACAATGATGCTGCCTCTGGTGCAGTCCCCCTTGGTTCCACAAGAGGGAGCCAGAAGTGCATTCCAGGAATAGTCAAAGGAGAAGATCTGCCCCAGGCCTAATCTGGGGCAACGTACTACTCCTCAAGTTTTGCGCAGGAAAATATTTTAGCTATTCTTACGGCCAGAGAGGTGAGGCCAATGGTCATCTAAGGAGAGCCAGGTGAACAATGGTTTGCTTTATTAGTTTATTAGTAGAGCTCTACACAAGGACAACATTGAGACAGCAGGCCAGTAATAATGGTTACATGCACAGGAATGCGGCCGCCTCATCATTTCAGTTTGAAGGGGATCTCTGAGTTCTATTGTGGAAGCAGGTGGGCAAGAAAGTGCCTGATTCAGACACTTCTACTTTCATTACAGAATCTTTGTTTGAACTGGCGTGATGAGTGGCGCGCATGTTTATAAAATCTAGAGTTCCACTCGTACTCTTCGTAAATGGCTACTTCACAGACCACACTCCAGAAAGTGAAGAGCCACTTGTAACATCACTGCTGTCTGGGTGGTGCTGTGTTTGTCACGTCAGCACACACTTCAGGGCAGATGAATCCGACCTTTGCACTGGCAGAGGACAATACAGCAACTGGGGGAGAATGGCTGCTCAGAGTAAACTACTCTACTAAGAATAAACCTGCAGAGATATCAAATGAAACCTGGTAGCCATCTTTCATCTTTCTTAGCACACACCAAACAGAGCCAGGCTTCCTCTCCTGATCATTAAATGGGACCCACAGGAAGTCTTGGGACATTTGCTTAATTCAGCAAAAATATTGGAAATGTATTGGTTTTAAAATCATCACTTCAGTAATTTGTTATATATATATATATATCTCAGAAGTAGTAAAACATTCAGTAGTTAAAAAAATTGAAGCACAAATTATAGTTCTACATGAGAGTTAACAAGTTAACTCAGTTTAAAAAATTATGACACTTAATAAAATGAAAATGTCCTTGTGGAAGATACAATATATGGACAAAAAAGTTTTAGGACACAACTCTTAATCATTGAATTCAGGTGTTTCATTCAGACTCACTGCCACTGGTGTATAAAATCAAGCACCCGGCCGTAAAGTCGGGCTTACAAACATTTGTGAAAGACTGGGTTGTTCTGAAGAGCTCAGTGAATTCACCCATGGTACTGTCATAGCAGGCCACCTTTGCAACACACCAGTTTGTGAGTTTTTTCGCTTACTAGATATTCCACAGTCAGCTGCAAGTGGTATTATTGTAAAATGGAAGCATTTAGACAGTTAAACAGACTCCCATCTGTCCACTCACTGCATAACTGTTGTCATGCACACTGTTCCACTATTCTGCAATTCATCATCATTATTTACTGCGCAGCCATAGTAATGGTGCACCCTCATATTTCCTATTTATTACTTATTTGTTGTTCTTACTCTCTTATATTGCATGGTTTTGTCTTGTATTGCACTACTGCTTGTTCTACCCTGCACCCCCCCCCCCCCGCCCACCTGCAACCTGCAACTTCTGGCATGAGAATTCCATTGTTCCTCTGCACATAACAATAAAACTTGAAACTTAAAATTCCAAAGACATCCCGTATTTGTTTCACTTCCTTTACATGTTTATAGAAAAATTGTTTAACACTTGAGTCGCAGGGCTGAATGTCTATGGATCATGAATAATAGACACTTTATTGATCCCTGTGGGGAAATCCTCTTTTTGCCTACCCCAGCTTGCTCTCCATGA